CATTCCCTTCTCAAAGAACTGGAACATATCCATATCACTTACCAGTTCTATTTCCTCGCCTGACTGTTTTAGGAATGCGTCCCAACTTAGACTGGGTGCTGACACGTAGTGTACAGGGTCTAGCTTGTAGTTTTCCAAGCAAGTTCTCCTGAAGTTTTCAAAAACATCTGCCAGTAGAAGAACGTCAGTTTCCAGGTAGAGATCGTGGTAGTCTCTCATGGTTTTCATCCCAAAGTGATTCCATACTTTCTGAGCTCTCTGGTAATCTTCTCCTTTCACCTCCGACTTATATAGTGAAGAGTAAAACTTATCTTTACTTGGAAGACCCTCGGTATTGAGTTTGCTGATGTCATCTAGATACTCATATGGAAATACACCCTTCTGTGTTACAAGATCAAAGTCCTCACCCTTCCACCTCTTACCTACTATTTTGAAGTCCTCAGGTGAAAGGTTGCTTACGAGTGCTTCCAAAGAAGAAGCCATGAACTGTATTGAGTCGATGAACACAAGACTTTTGCCTAGTGAGAAGGAAATATATTTTTCCATATTATTTGGAATCACGTTAATATCCATCTTAAACTTACCGATCTCTTGCATAATTAGTTGGCTATCGTAACCTCTCAGATTATGGAAGACCACTGGAACTTTCCATGTGATTCTGTATTTTAGATTACACATATTATGGGCAGCTCCACGGTAAAGTCCAGTTACGTGATCATGGTCCCTCACTCTATCGTCTCCGAGGTCGTTACCACATATTGAGCAGTTCCTAGTCATCCAGAACTCGGTTTCCTGTTCGGGTGTAATTACCATCTTTTTCTTGAATATTTTATTAACCATCTCTCTACACTTAATGGACTCCTTCAGTACGGTCTTTAGGAAGACTAATGCGGCGTCTTCACCAACGTAACTTACATATTCACCTGAGTACTTATCGTCGTAGTGGCAGACTGTTTTTAACCCAAAACTACAAGCCTTATGCGTCTGGTAAAGGTCCGTACTGCTTTTGTCCTCAGTGCCCTCAGAATCAACTTTTCTCTCTTCTGGAACCAGTATGGATTCAAAGTCGGCATATATTACAAATGGTGCAGGCATTGAGTTCCTGTGATTCTTGAACTTTATTTTAGTTCCTTCCTTGGGAAGCTTTGTGGCCTGAGTTCCATTTACCTCAAGACATGTCTCCTTGTGCTTCTTCAGCAGCTCTTCACTCTTACAGCTGTGGAGGCAGTGCAGGCAGAAGTGCTTCTTGTGTTCGTATCCGCTTACACTGTACAGCATTCTATTAATGTCCTTTATCAGGACATAGTGGTTGTTACCATTACCGTCACCTAAGAGCAGCAGCTCCATATGCTCGTCGTATTTGGTCTTGGAGTTTCTTATGCGATAGAACACCTTTTTACCCTTGTAGCCGAACACTGATATGCTTATGCTGTTCTTCCTCTCAATTTTATCAATATCGCTTATTTTTACGGGGAAGTCTATTCCCTCATAATCCAGGTTTTCAGCGAACTTGATATCCTGTCGTGTAATGGTGGTTGCCCTTCTTGCCTTAGGTCTTACATGTCACACATGACTCCACATAAAACATTTGTTGTCGTTATTTTTCATGTTGATGAGACCACATTTCGGATTACTAATATCTGCGGGTAATTTCATATATGAACTACCCTTTAGAGGTTTATACATTGCAATATTAACGTAATGGCTTTCAATATTCAGAATAATCCAATTTGAACCTAAGTTCTGGAAGGTTTCGATTCTGGATAGGATTGTCAGTTGGTTCTGGGCGGCTGTACTTTCGATATCCTCAAAGTTAGTCGCTGTTCCAGTTTTAGACTTGAAGTATATCGAATCCTTCTTTGTCTTATCATTACCGATCTCCTTTGACATTCTTACCTTTATTGTCTCGGTGTATTTCAGCCCTCCCATTCTCTTCAGCCCGTTCACTAGAATTTCTCTCACCACCTGCCTACTTGCTGTCATCTGGTCCAGGGGATCCGTATAATGTGGAGTAATTGAGTAAGTTACAGCAGCACCATTTGCGGCAGTCTCAATTTTCCTATGGGATGGCTTTTCGAGATATGTTCCGAATGGATCTATTTCATGTTCCTTAGGTGTGACCACTACAGGCTGTTCGTTAACTTCCTTATACACTTTTACAGGCTTTCGTAGCTTTGGAGGAGCCACTGGTTTCGTGGTTCTTGGTTTAGGAACAGGTTTTTCCCTAGGAAATATAGTTCTCGGTTTAGGAGTGGGTTTTTCCCTAGGAAATATAGTTCTCGGTTTAGGAATTGGCCTTTCCCTAGGTTTAGGTGTTGGTTTCCAGGGAGCTACACCCTTTGGTACTTCAGGAGCTTTCCTTGTGGGTTTCTTATTAAGATTCACGTGGATTGTGAACTTACCTGGACCTGTTGGAGTAATAACACTATTTGCAGGAACTGAAAGTTTAATCCTGTTTTGACTTATGAATCTTTCAGCAACGGTTTGCCTTTTGGCCTTAGGTTTTGGTGTTTCGGCTACCTTAGTCTTCGGTGGTCTTCCACGCTTTTTGGGAATCACAACTTCAGCGTTGGACTTAGACTTCGGTGGTCTTCCACGCTTTTTGGGAATCACAACTTTAGCATCAGTCTTGGGTTTTACTGGTCTTCCTCTAGGAACCTTTACTTCACCATCAGCCTTGGCCTTTGGTGGTCTACCTCTAGGACGCTTGGGATTCCTAAGGTTTTCAAGTCTCTTAATTTCAGCATTTACCTGAGGATCGTCTGTTCGCCATCTTCCTCCCATTGTTGGTGGTAAACCTTTGACTCCCCTACTTAGTAGGTTCTGGTACGCCTCTTCAACTAGTAAGGCCTTAGCCTTTTGTCTCTCGGAATACTTCCATGTCGGCATAATTCCTCTTCTACCCTTATAGTTGAGTGGGAGTCGTCTTGGTTTCTTAGAATCCGTAGAACGGTCGCCTTCGTCTATGAATAGTATTTGTCCTTCAAAGGGATCTTTGCCCTTATCCTTAGGTGCAACTCGATAGAACTCATCCGTAAATATTTCCTCAACTTTGTCATCAATGTCACTAACATCACTATCATCAACTATCTCGCTGAGGGCCATAAGTTGTTCTACAGTTAAATCGTTTAAGTCAAAGTTTGTCGCCATTTTTTCACTTTTTCTCTATATACTATATGTAAAAAAAAATAGACCTATTAAAAGGTCTATTTAATTTAATAATTTATTTAACATTTAATTTTATATTTTTATTTTATTTAATTTTATATTTTGTATTTTTATTTAATTAATAATTTTATATTTTTATTTAATATTTAATTTTATATTTTATTTAATTTATAATTTTATCTTTTATTTAATTTAATAATTTTATGTTTTATTTAATTTATAATTTATTCTTTAATTTCCAGTTATTATAATATTTACAATTTATAGGTTTCCATCCCAACTCGGGGAAGACTTTACTATATAACCTATTCTCAAGGATGTCCACAATTCTTTTGGTCTTAATGTCCTCAGGAGGGTTTCTTAGCGTGATGTTGTTAATGCTGGCTATCCTCAGTAGGTAAAACTTATATCTAACTATGTTGCGCCCCCGTTGCAGTATAAGTCTTTGTATACATCTTACGATGCTTCTGAACTGCTCCCGTATGGTATCCCTATCCCCAGAAGCAACATGCTCTAATAAGTGTCTTTCAAACCAACGGACTCTGTTATGACAAGACTTCTTTTTCAGGTAGTCGTCCTTGTTGTGGTTGTAACTAACATAGTATGTAAAGCCATTCCTGTCACTTGTACCACATTGTGTGCATACATCTGCTCCATCTATTATTACAGTAGACTTACTACCACATTCAACACATTCCGGTTCGTATGTATGTACAACCTTCATTTTATCTCTCACGTATTTCATTACTGCGGCCTCCAGCTCCTCAATGTTTTTTGCTCTCCTACCGACTCTTTCCATTTCATCAGGTGTTACCAGTGTCAGCCAGTCCATTCCCTATACTATATGTGTTAAAATATTTTGCTTGTTTTTTACGTCTCCTTATTATTCTCAGTTCTACATATTTTTTAACCGCGGCCTCCAGCTCCTCTATTGTGTCCACCCTTTTACCAAGGGCTATTACTTCGTCAACGTCTACCATTGCAAGCCAGTCCATTTCTCTACAATATATGTGTAAAAATTTATTGCCGTATTAAATTAATAAATAAGCTGCCCCTCCAACCACCCCACCCATAATTAAACCAAATATTGCCATATATTCTTCCATCTCTGAGCTAGGTTTGTAGTGGTTACTTAGTTGAGGCTTTCTTGGCATAGCTTTATGTGTTAGCTCGTTGATTCTCCTGACGAGTTCCAATGCCTTATTTGTTGAATTAATATCCCTATTTGCCTCAGCTAGTTCGGCCTTAAGTTGCGCAAGTCTGTTTCTTCTATCGGTGACTTCTTCAAGGTACTTCTCTCTTTCAGCTGTTAGGTTCTCCATTGCAATGTTGTGTCTATGGGCTTCCTCAGCGTATCCATTCTTGTCAAACATTTTAAATAGGTATCCTGCTCCAGCAAATGCGAATGCGTTAAAGAGTCCTCCTGCTACCGCTACCGCCATTGTATAGTCTTACCTAGGTTTTGAATGGGTCATCTGGTATATACTTCTTTTCTTTCAGGTAAGAGACCAGCAGAGATGAAAGACTAACTGAGACAGCTAGCTTCGCCATTCCTTTTACGTTCTCTGAGGTGCCTAACGGTTCTTTCAATAGTTTTTTCGATGCCATTGATATACCAACTGCTCCTGCTGTAAGTAACACTGTGTTGTACACTTCCGCGGTCATCTTTGATTCTTTACTCATCTTGCTATAATATATATTATGTTTAACGTATCATTCAAGTGAATCTAACTTGGACGCATCAGTTTTCCTGGTTACTTCTACAGTTTCAGGGATGCACTTAGGTTCTGGTTTCTCTGTTTCCCTCCAATGCTGATTAAATGCTAGAGCAAGGGATATCAATGCGATGACCACTCCTACATATGCGATCATGTTATTGCTGGATGACTCCTCAGGTTCTGCAAGTTTCTTTTTTCTCTCCTTTGCTATTTTGCTGATTGCAGCTAACCGTTTTCCTGCAGCTACTCTTTTTGGGTCTTTCTTCTTTTCACTTGTTACTGCTTGAGTTTGCTCAGGTTTATCTTCCATTCTACTTGTAAGATACCTTAGGTTTAACTGGGTTTCATCTTATGAGATATCTAGAGTCTACTTGTGAGATAACTTAAATTTACTTGCAAGATGTCTCAAATCTACTGGTGAGATAACTTAAATCTACTGGTGAGATAACTGGTGAGATAACTTAAATTTACTTGTGAGATGTCTCAAATTTACTTAGCAGTATGATGGGATTGCTTAAAAAATGCCCAACAAATTTTGCCGAGCATTTTCTAAGTTTATTTCCTTCGCTTCCCGTTTGCACTCTAGTACCGACTACATCAGTAGACGCTGCTAGCGCAGCTAGTACTTACCGACTGTGTAACCAATCCTTTGAACTACGACTTCTTTACACTTACTATACTCTAAGGTCTTACACTTTATCTTAAGATTCTCTATTTCATTTATGAGTTTCTTTGTATTATCAACTCTAAAGTACTCATCTATGAATAGCACTATCTCTGTGTAGTTGTTGGATATTAGTGTTCGGAATCCGTTTTTACCTAACTCTCTTATCCAAGCTACCTGATTATCTCTAACTTCACCTGTGCCCTTTGGGGTCTTAAGTTCTATTGCGAATCCATTAAAACCATTACTTGGAGTAACTATTGTGAGATCAGGTTGCCCACCTAAATATCCCTTATTCCAGGCGTCGCATCTCTTTTGTGATGTATCCTGATACTCTCCTAGTCCGGGTAGAATTAAAGCTTTCGGGTGGTAGTCTTTAAGATATTCTACAACTGCATAGTGCAGGTCCGTCTCATTAATTAGTCTCATCTGATTGCAGTATAGCGGCTCGGGTTCTGGTAGTCTATAAAATCCAGTTTTACGGATAGATGGAATGACGTCCGTTACCACCCAGTTTTGAAAGGCCTCTGCTATTGGAAGTCTGGATTTGAATATTAGTTGGTACAAACCCTGTTCCCTTAGGAAAACATAGTTTGGATGGCGAATATTGATGGGACCCTTAAGGGTCCCATCATTTAGTTCCCTAAGTGTTACTTTATTTTTCTTCCATACATTAACCTGAATTGCCTTCTTTGTGTTTGAGTACCCTAGTGATTCCGCTACATCTTTTGCGTAAAGTAATAAGTCCCCATTACTTTCAACAGTCCTCACACTAACGTTAAGATCTCGGTTCTTGAATAGTTTCTCCATCTTTCTCTATACTATATATGTAAAAATTTTTATGGTTATTTAATTTCGAATTAATTGAGAATTACCTGATTTAATTAGTTGCAGCATTCCCTCTGGCCCACCCAGCTGCATACTGTATATACCCAATGGCAAATAAAATATAACATCTCATTTAGTTTCTTGTATATCTTTACAACTGTTTTAACTGTGTCATCCCTAAATGCCTCGTATTCATATTGAAGTGGTCCTATGACTTTATCCTTAAGATTATGTAGGTCCTTCTCTATAAACCCTATCACCAGCTGATTCTTTCTGAGTACGCTCTCCAATGAGTCCAGCGTCTCCTGAATCTTATCTAACTTTTCCCTATTTGTATCAGTCTTCTCAATTAATTCATCGATTATGGCTTCGAATTCTGTTCCATCCCAGGCGTTTCCCCAGTCGTCGTAGGGCTCTCCGAGTTGTGGCATTCTTCTTCCTCTTCGCTATGTAATAGGATATGTTTAGCTTCCTCGGATACCTCCTCCTTCTTATTCCACTTATGAGCAACGATGTGCTTTGCGGTTGTGCAACCACCTGATATTAAACCTATGAATGGAATGTTTGGGGAAATCGTTCTTGTTAGATATGATACGTCATCCTTTAGAAGCTTATCACTAAGTAGTTCCTCTGACAGTTTCTCTGAAGATTCCACTGCACCGAAACTTCCTAGTATAGAAGCAAACTTTGAAATTATAAGTGTTGATAAGAAGTCACTTGCACATGACATCCTTTGACTTTCATACTCGTGGTATAGTCTATCCACAACATCCTTGTTGGACTTTCTTATAAAACTTGCGGACTTTTCTATTACACCATCTCTGGATAGTTCTATAAGCTTGTCTCTTTTACTTTCAGTTTGCGACTTATCTGCGGTTTTTCTTGCAGTAGACTTAGCTTTCTTTTGCGGTGCCTTTGCGGCCTCTTCTACTTCTCTCACAGCATTGGATATTTCTTCATCAGATTCTGATCCCATCTTTTATATCCTACGTGATGTTTTATTTGATAGTGTATGTGTAAGGGTGAACGAGGAGTATATCTAGTGCGGTGAACTTCCTATCTTTTAGTATTTTTGTAATCTCTGTAATTGTCTCCTGAGGGACACCACTTAGGTAATCATCTGTTATGACCTTCATATCCCTACGACTAGGGTTGTAAAATGTGACTAACCTGGAAATGTTCTCCCTGAATGGTTTCGCTACTGATGACAGTTGTTGAGTAATTACAATAACAGATAAGTTGTAATGTCTTGCAGAGAAAGCTAGGCGCACCAGTTCTGAGACTCTTTTCTTTACATCTTGACTCACTGCACAATCGTCCACTATAATGAGAGTTTGAGTTCCACAAAATATGGTGGACACTGCCTTCAGAACTAGATTGATCATTTCTTGTGAACATGGAATTTGTATGACTCCGTGATCACTAATATAAGCCCAATTAATGTAAGTCATATTCCACTCTATGGTTGGACATATAATCACAATGTAATCAAAAACTTTATTGTATTCCGTTTCTAACATATTTAGTAAGAACTGAGTCTTACCACTTCCTGTCATTCCTACTATAAGCATGTTGAATGGTGGTTCGAGTTGCATCTTTATGCTTTACCGTTAGTACAAACTACGTCAGCGCAGCTAGTATTGAATACTTGATAAATCTCTATTGGCAAAGTTAAGGAGGGCATCTGATACAACAAAAATATTACATCAAACGTCAGCAGTTGTGGCTCTCTTTTTGATTTCCATGAGTACACCTGACTGTGTGTTAACAATTCTCCTTCCTCCACCAGTGGTATCATCCTGTGTTGACCTTAGATCAATTACCAGAGCGAAACCATTATCGAAGAACCTGCTGACGGACATATATTCATCTGCCATAGATTTTTCACACATGGGGCAGAAGAACCGTTTTGCCTCCTCAAAGAACCTATTTTTAGGAAGTCCTTGGGAGAAAACTGCATTAGGTACACCTTCAATGGTTAGGTTCACTTTGTCAATATTTGGGTAAATATATTGTTCAGAATCATTTATTATTGTAGTGGTAAATAGAAGGACAATTGCTGACATGCTCTTCCTGGGGATATTTATGTTTTCATTCACAATGGTAAGATCCTTGTCCCAATTACTCGTGCGCATTAGTGTGACGTGTTTGTAGGACAGTGAGCGACCTGTTGAATACATCCTTGACACTTCACCAGCAAGGGCGTCATTCTCAATGGTCTCGTATTCTAGCTCAAGATTATCAAGTTTATAATTACCCTTAGCTTCACCTGCCTGGGCAGTCATAATCTCATCTGATCCGGGGAGTGTGAGGATGTACATAGGATTATTATTCATATTAAATGGTACGTAAAGTCCATGGTCCGCAATTATTTTATCAATTGGTTTTTGTTAGCCTAGATCCGTACACACTGTGAAGAAGTCCATCCGCTATTTTATTGGCATCACCAACTTTTACTCCTGTGTCGTCACCTGAGATTAACTTCCTGAGATTTTCACTTCCAAGGCCCTGTTCGGTCATCTTATTCCTATCACCTAGTGTTAGCCATAGATCTTTGTATATTTCGTACAAACTCTCTCCCGAACAGTCATAAGCTGTTTCACCTGCTACTTTGATCTGAAGACGTTTAGCTATCAACTTAGACAGGTTATTATTAAAGTGGCTTTTTGTATTGGAATTTTTGAAGTCAAATAATAGTGCAAGTGATCCTGGAACTAAACAAGAGTCAGGCTTTAATTTAGGAATGTTAATATACAGCTTTTCACCTGGGCTAATTGTTGTTGGATTAAATGTTACAACGTTTAAAGTCCTGGGTCCTTTTATAGATGTCATATGGCTCCTCCTGAAGCCAGGTTGGAGTTCTCTTTCTGTGGTATTCATACTTTATACAATATGTAATGTTTAGTTGTATTGGTATAATAAAACTGCTGCTGCACAAACAATGATTATCCATATATTATCCGCTGCTAGCTCTACTCCATCGGCTATCTTCTGGAATACAGGTGGTAGTTCTATTTGGTTGTTTACCAACTCACTTATCCGCTTATCGAGTTTTCCTGTTGTGTCACCTACTTTCCATAATATGTTTCTAGTTGAAGCTACCAGTCCTATGATTACAGCTGATGAGGAAATTAGAACAGCTGATAAGATGCCTGCATTCTCCCTTACCCATAACCTGAGCCTCTGCAGTCTCCTACGATCATCCCGTTTAATGAGATCCCTCTTTTTCACTTTATCTCTTAAGTTGAGAAGTCTATTTAAGTTTGACTCTCTTTGGTAATCATTTGATAGCATTCTGACGTATCTCAGTTCTTCCGACTTTTCTTTGAAACTGTTTTCATCCAAATCGGATAGTATTAATTCATTTAACAGTCTGTCTCCCCTATCCATTAGATCATCGTATGACAGATTAGATAGGTCAGGGAATTTCTCAGCTAATTGCTCTCTCGATGGGTCTTCACTCGGTACTTCTCTCCTCCTCCTCAGTTCGAGTACGTAATTAATTTCCTTGTTAATATCCCGGGCCTCCTCAGGGGTTTCACTTTCCTCAAGATCCTTGTCGAGGTATGGTAATTCGCTAGCTAGAGCTTCTATATCCATTTCTTCATAGTTTGGATACTTTTCCCTCAACTCTTCCATTCTCTGGTCATCGTATTCCTCTTGATGTTCCTCCATAGCTAATTTACTTTGTGTAATAGTTATATACCATTAAGGCTGCAGCTATAGCTAATACCCATAAATGTGACGCTAACCAGGCAATTCCTTTTGCTCCCCAGGATAGCGCTGTTGCAATTGCGTTCAGGATTGGAACTAGAATTGGTCCTGCTTTCTTTGCTAAATTTGCTAATGCTTTTGCTACTTTACCAGTGGTCTTTGCTGTCTTAACAATGGCTCCCCTAGCATGGATTAATAATGTTGTAATTAAACTAGCTGTTGACACTGCTATCCCTGCAAGTCCCACTTTTTCCTTTCCTACCCAGTCTATAAATTTACGTAATCTAGAAATATCTTCCAACTGTGCCTCTCTTGCTTCCTCTACTACTCTCTGCTCTAGTGTCCTATCCCTAGCTTCCTTTAGACCATCAATTCTTTCTAGGAGGGAATTATACTCAGTTGTACCTTTCGCTGAGCCGGCTTGTTTCACGGTTTCATTAATAGCTTCGTTAAAGTAGTCAGCTTGTATTTGCAACGCTCCATTGGGACCTGTTCTACCTTCTATGCTTGATCCATCAGGTGGGTTAAGAACACCCCTCAGTTCATTGTTTTCTTGCATTGTTAACCCAGGAAGGTCCCCCAGTCTTGCACTTATGTCTACTAACTCAATGTTCTCGCGGTCAGCGCATTCCTCATCACTGGTATCAAATTGCGGCTCTTCTCTTTCAGTTATGTCGTCAGGATCTGTAGGTACCTCTTTTATTTTCTTTAGAAGGTCCTTGTATTCTCTTAATGCAGGTGAGTTCTTGGAGTACACAGGTTTACTGGTCTTACCACGTTTCATTATTTGTGTCCCACTTTTGTCAATACCTTGTTCACTTCTAAATACCAACACCTCTGTGCCATCCTTGAGTGTTCTTACAGATGATCGTTTGACGAGTTCCCTGACGTATCTATTCCTAGGATCTAGTATCAGTCCCTCCTTGCCCTTGATAACTCTTGTGACAGCTTGAACACGCTCTACTTGGTTTTCAAAATCTCTCTTTTTATTTGCTGTTGAAATCTTATTTAGTTTCTCTAGGCGGGCTTCTATTTCGTCCCAGTTAGCGTCAAATGATTCGTTGAATGCATCTAGTACGTCTGGAAGTACATTGTTTGGATCTTCTACAAAATCTACTCCCGGGGTGGTTGTGCTTCCTGATGGACCTGAAATGTTCACTGTACCATCATTTCCTTCGGTGAAAGTTGTTTCTTCTATTTCACGTCTCTCCATAAGATTCTTCACATAGTCCAGTTCACTTTTAAGATCAGTTAATACTATAGGATCATCACCATACATAGCCTCAGCCTTCACCCCTATATCTAACCTATTAAAGGCTGTCGTTAGGTCATCATAATCAAGGTCGTCATATTGAGGATAACTTTTTTCCACCTCCTCCATTTCATATTCATCGTAGTCCTCCATAATACCTTAACTTATGTTAGGGACTTGATGTCTCCAGCTGGTATCCAACTGTTAAATTTGTCATCATAACCTAACCACTTAATGAGAGCCATCTTTTTACCCTTCACTGTTCTTCTTCTTAGTACTTTCTCTATTTTGAAATCAGGTTCTCTTCCTTCAGCGCTATACAGTTCTTGTTCATAGAATCTGCCAATTATTGGTTCATCAGCACTGTCTTTTATTGTGTACGTGTTTGGATGACCGTGATACACTTCTGTCACAGTGAACAACTCCTCTGTGAAGTTAGCTTCGTACCCTTTTGTGAACACTGATTTGTATTTTGAGATCCTGACACTTTCTCCGACAGCAAACTTTGGTTCTGACGGCTTGCCTAGATTGTGACTAAAAAGTGTCTTCCATACTTCAGTCCAGTTGGACTCATTTACACTGTCTGGTGTTGTTTTAATTGATCTGTTCACTGAACTGTTGTAATTATCAGTTAAGTCTTGAAGGACGTCTAACCATTTATATGTACTGGCACTGTAGAAGTACTTCCACATTAGAGCCTTCAATGTTCTGTTAAATCTTTCCACAACTGCGGCCTTTTTGTCTGAGTAAGTAGAGAAATATTCAATGTTGTGTTTATTGAGCAAAGATTTTACATCTTTATTGTAGAACTCTGTGCCCTGATCAAACTGTGCGAATTTTGGGTATTTACCAAAACGATTATTAAATTGCTCTAAAATGTTACTGACTGCGTCCTTCATTGATGTCGCGTTTTTCCTATACACTGATACTGTGAATGCATACCTACTTAGTATTTCAATGGATGTGAGAATCCATCGGTATCCCTTGTTCTTATCGTCATATTTTGTCATGTCAACTAAATCCATTTGTAACTGTTCACCTAAAGTTTGGACGTACGTCTGTCTGAACTTATGTCTCCTAAACACTTGTCTGTACCTTGTGTATGTGTCCTGCTCGTTTATCCATTTCTTGACCTGGTTTCTGGTTACTTTAAGTCCTTCCGATATTGCTCTAAGATATAGTTTCTCTGGTGTTTGAAATCCAGTCTTAGGATTGTAGTAAATATCTCGTAGTCCCTGTTCTTTCATAATATCTTCGTCCATTTTATATTAACCAATGTAAGCTAACTACTCAAGGTACATCTCAAGTAGCACTTCACCTATATCAATAGGTTTCCCGTCTTGATCAGTCACGTGGAATACAAGTTCTGAGAAAGAACCCTTGATAACTGAAATCCTGCTTTCTACATCAATGTAGCTAACCACAGAGCCTAATAATGGTCTGTCAGTTGGGATTGTAATGCTTGTTATTACATTGCTGGGTCTTCCCCGGGGGTTAACATTGTAGCTGTTATTAGCTAGATTGCAGTGTATATTTACACATCGTAGACCATTATTAAAGTCAACTTTGCTATCACTAGTTAAACTCCTTCCTTTTAGTAAGATCATTGGATTACTAAATCTATTAAAGCCAAGCATTGTTAAAAACCTGGTTTCTATTGTAATGTCCTGCCTTACAGCTTCTATCTGACATCCTGCCGTTTCAGGAAAATATGTTAGTTTAACACCATGTCTCTCAAGTAATTTTCTCATACTGTCAAATGTGTAGTAGCCCTTGATGACAATCACATCAGTTTCAACATCATCTGTCTTTACCTTGATAATAGTTGTTGGTTCTTTTATATTGAAGTATTCCCAGAATACTGATACTCTCTTCATAAAGACGGAATTATAATTACTCGTTAGAACTGAATTCTGTAGTGATACAACTGTGTGCGAGCCCTGTAGTAAAATTGTGAACTTCATCTTTAATAACATACGTTAGGTTATTAAGAATGAGACTAGGTGGAGGAGACGTTGGGAAGTCGCCTTATAGGTCATACCAAGAATATGAAAAAAAGTATGGAAAAGAAGATGAAAATGATGTTGATCCTATTGCTGGTAAAAAAGCTGAGAATGCTGAGAGGGCTAGGTTTATTAAAAAGTACCCTCACGCTGACATGAATAGGTTTAGTTTTGAAGCTATGACTACAAGTAGTGGTGATATTGGAGTTGTAACATGGTTTGTGGACTTAGATGGCATAACTTCATATGATATTAGGTATGGCGGCTTTCTGAATAATAAGGAGTTCACATCTTATCTTACTGGTACTAAGGAAATTATTATTCCTGCTCAGTTTATTCCAATGACTGACACTAATGAACCTCCAGCTAGAAAGTTACCAAAGAAATCTGTAAATAGTTTAATAGCATCTTCTCCCCCAAAACTAAAAGGATGGCCGTATCTCTGGGATAGTAATGGCACCGTTCAAGAATATAAACCTCTTGTATTTCCAAAGGATCCTACTTACGATGAAAGAAAGTTAGGATTTAGTAGGGTTCTGATTCATAATGACAACTATTATATTAATACATATCGACCTCCTGTAAGTCTTCCCTACAACTTTAACAACTTTAAGATATATGTAAATGAAAACAGTTATTTCATGTCTAACTTCCCTAATGCTGGTGTAGGTTGGGATGAAGGTCCCAATTTAACTAATAAGGATGCAACAAAGGTTCCCTTTAATACGATACCATACACTAGAATGTTGTCTGGCGCCTACATAGCTAGCTATCTCAGCGGTGTATCCTTAGAACACATTCGTGAAAGTAATTCCGTTCCTAAAATAATAACATCCATTATGAGGTATCATCTTTACTACACAACTAGAAAGCTAACAGTTAGTAAGGATGCTATTGATAGACTTGGTGTCAACCTTGATATTGTAAGGAAACACATTCCGATAAATCAGAATTATATTATTGATGGAAGTGGTGCTACAACTACTGCAGGACCTTTATCTGGTAGCGATTACCTTTCATTCATAGCTGAAAAAAGTAATGGCTTTACTAAGTTGGGTGTTGAGCTTATTCAGGAAAGTACTGAGTCCTTTGTTTATGCTATGTTGGGATCTCAAGCTAATACAAGGTGGTCAATAGAAGGAGACGGTCCGAAGGCTCTTCAAACACAACGTAAATTTAGAACTATTGTGAAGTCTACTATTTTACAAAGTAATACGGTAACAACAATTAGCGATATGAGGAAAGCTGTTAGGGACACTAATGTGATTCTAAACACTGCTATATCCCCTGGAATAGTCCTAATCCCATCGAACTTTATTATTCTAAAAAATCCGATACCTGGTTATAATAACCTTCTAAAGACGGCAACTAATAAAATGAAATTTGGGCTTAATCCTAAGGTAAATTATGTTGGTGGTAAGCAAGTTGATCCTCCAAAGAAACAGCACCAAGACACTACACCTGTTCACCACCTTGATACTATTCATGGAACTAAAAAAGTTCCAGGAGGTTCTACAAGTACTAAGCCTCAGGAAGATTCTTCAAGTGCCGAGACTCAAGTTGTTCCTATCACGGGGCATAGTGTGGTTAGTACTAACGAGTCTTCAGGAGTCAGTGCTATTGCTGAAGCTGGAATTGGTGCTATAGTTGTATTCATTCTAATGAAAGCTGTCCTGTAAACATTATGTATTCTATAAAATGGCTCTCTATAGCGGATACAATAAAGGAGGAAATAAAGTTGACCCATCAAGTGGTAGCGTGTTTGATAAGGATGGATTTACCATGAAGGGTGACATTGAGATGGATGGCAACGAGGTAAAAGGTTTGGGTGCTCCGACAGATGATACCTCTGCTGTCACAAAAAACTGGGTAGATAATGAGATAATTAGACAGGCTGCTCTTACAATTCAACCAGCAGGGTTTACAATGACTGGGGATATTAATATGGGAGGTAATAAAATAACTAATCTTGATAATCCCACTGATCCGGGTGATGCTACCAGTAAGAGCTGGGTTGAAGGTAGCCGTGCAAGTCTACCTGGTCTTATACTTACAAATGACCTCAATATGTCAACTAATGAGATAAAGGCGCTGGGCGATCCTACAACTGGAAAGTCTGCTGTTAATAAGGACTGGGTAGTTAGCCTACATAGCTAAGCATTGATTTACAATGACAGGTGTTCTTAATATGAACGGAAATGAAATTGAAAACGTTGGGACTCCTGGTGCTGATTCATCCGCTGTTAATAAAAAGTGGGTAGAAGATAAGATTAGCGGTGGTAGAAAAAAGCGTGAGACCTACAGCGGAATTACACTATCTAATGACCTTGATATGGGAAACAACGAAATTATAAAGTTAGGCGTTCCTACAACCGATAATTCTGCTGTGTCTAAAAAATGGGTCACTGATCATGTCAGTGGGAGTTCCGTAAGTAGTAGCGGCTTTACTATGAGTGGTAATATTAACATGTCCGGTAATACTATTACGGGTCTAAATAGCGGGGCAACTGGGTCTTCTAGCGCTGTTTCCTACGGTTCTATGAGCAGGTGGTGTTCACAGTTTCTTAAGCGTGATGGTGGCACTCTAGCCAGCAATCTAGATGTTAACAATTATGAGTTAACAAAAGTTGGTAACCCAACAACTGACGGTTCAGCTGTCAATAAGGGATGGGCAACTAATGAGTTCATGAGTAGCAGAGGTGGACTTGTAAAGGGTGATCTGGATATGGGAGACTCAAGTGGAATTCTAGATCTTAAGGACCCTGTAAATGATAAGGACGCTGTTAACAAACAGTGGGTAGAAAATAATTTCCTAAAACCTTCAACTGGACTTACCCAAGCAATGGCTGACTTGAGATATGTGAGGATACGGTGACATATACATGCAGAATGGATTTGGGGTTACAGGGGAGTATCAACTGCTGCAGCAAGGTACTATGCCTACTGTTACGATCAGATTCCACCTTCATGGAGAACAGATCCTATTGACAATATGACAGACCTCAATCTTGAGTCAATTACTATTAAATCAAACTTCCCAACCTTTTCAACCATTCTAAATATACCAATAGCTCTAATTCTATGGGCTACGGTTTGGGAAAAACAGTCTAATGGAAAGTTTACAAAAGTTAGGAAGGAAATCAACCTCACAGCAATCAACTTGAAAAAATTGTCATACACATGGTTTAATGGAACTTACACAACTACAGGTGGAAGTACAGCTTGCTATGTTTTCAAGGGCAATAGCATGTTCTATTTGGGAAACCAGGTTGAGTTGGTAGATAACACGCTAGCCTGGTGTATCATAGTTGCGCCTGAACACTCAATGCCCACTGGATCAAGTATGGATATGTCCTTTTGCTGGTCACTTCGATATTCAGGGTCAGGTATTTAACATATGTTTTATCATAAGGTAAGATGTCAAGATGGAGGTCATGTTTCTCCTGCTTAGGTAAGATTTGTGGTTGTCGCAAGGCTGGTAACATAAATTTCTCTGTATCAAATAATATTAACGTTGACGTCAACACACAGAATAATAAAGATGATTCAAGTAATATGTTTGACCCTAAGAGCTTCGGCCCCTTGAGTATAATTAAATATGATAATAAAGATTAAAATAATAGATAAAAAAATGAGGTAAAAAGACCACGGAAAAAATGGTCTAGAAAAAATGGTCTAGAAAAATTGAGCCCGCGGTTTTTGGGGAAAAATTTGGGAAACCGCTGACCGGAAGTGGGGTGTGATCGCGGGCTGAAAAAGTGGTCTAGAACCGCTACTTCCTATACTACTTCCCCGAAACACCGCCGTAATGACATACAGTTCGTAGTCGAAATTGGGTTCATATCCTTTTTCGAACGTTTTATGTTTTACCTCCACCTTGAAATGGTCCCCGACTTTGAACTTAGGTTTCGGAAAACTGTCCAGTGGATATCCGTAAATGCTTGTTCAAACTTCGTCCTTGTTCTGCTCGTTCACATCCGCCGGTTTCATCCCGATCGTCCTGTGCGTGGAATTATCATGAGGGGGTGGCGGGGGGTGCCCCCCAGAAATGATTTGCACACCCCCCAGAGGCATTTCGCACCGTCCCCAAAAGTTTTTGCACCCCCGCAAATTATATATATTTTGATTTGATAGTTTCATATTTGATTATTCTTACTACTAAATTTGTAAAATTACCAATATTATGGTCTCAGATCTCGCCATGCAGGCCTAGAAAACAGATTTTGTTAAACTTTTTCCTTGGCTTTTCCGGGCGTTGCCACCACGCCCCGGCCAAAGGAAGCAGCAGCACTCCCCAGATATTTATCCCCCCCCCCCCGAACGAAAATATGAAAATCCATCTCTGTTATATGATTTGACGAAGGCAGGTAGAACGTCCACCCAAACTTTCGTCTTGTTTTCCGTAAAATATTTCCACATTCTTGTTTTCAGAGTCCTGTTAATGCAGCTTTCCGGAAGGTTCTCGTGGAAAAGTAATGGACATCATGATCCTTTAACAACGTCTTTACTCTTACATTGTATAATTCCTTTCTGTCGTCGAATTGTGCTGCTTTCGGATATCTGTCAAACCTTTCCTTAAATTGTGCGAGTACCTTTTCAACGGCTTTCGTCATACTTTCGGTATTTTTTCACCAGACGGAAACGGCACAGGCATACCGACTCAGAACTTCTACGACAGTCAAAATCCAACGGTTTCCCTTATTCTTGTAGCTGAACTTGCTCATGTCCACAAGGTCCATTTGGATCTGCTGTGCCAGTCCGTCCACATATGTCCTTTGGGTTTTGTAATGCTTCCTGGATTGTTTGTGAATGATGTACGTGTTTTGTGTTTGCAACCATTCTTTGACGTTTTTCGGCTGACACCCGGTACACCTTCTTCCTTTGCCTTTTGGTATAGTTTTTCCATCGACATGTACCCACCGTTTACGTTAAGATATATTTCTCGAAGAGCTACATCCAATTGCAAACTCATTTTATTATCGGTAAATAAAACATGATGAAAAAGATAACGACTTACATCAAGGACGGGGGGTTCACCCTAAATCTTCGGGATCCTCCGGTCCTTACCCACGAATCCAAACTTTTCGTAAGAGCAGCCACCGTGTTTTGGAATTACAAAAACGTTCGCGCGGATTACAACGACTACATTTCCGTAGATGGAAAGAAAGTTATGATGGATGAAGGATACTGGACGTTTAAGCAGCTACGAAAAAAGATTGAGGAGAACGGACTGACGTTCAAGGAATATCCAGACGGAAAAATAAAGATTGACCTCGATAACAGGACAAAGACGGTGAGACTTCGGAATCTCACGGGGATTCTGGGATACCGATACACCCCACACATCAGCGACCGTCCCGTGAATATTCACGATGGTCTGCGATACATCACAGTCACCTGTGATCTAGTAAACCATGAGCACAACATCGGACCAGACGAAAATCGGAGTACCATCATCACCTCCCTTCCGATCGACGGAGCCAATCCTCTTTTCGGAATCGTGACCAAGTACAATGACATTGAAAGTCAGTTACGGGTGGACGCTGGAAGGTACAATGAAATCCGGTTTAAAATCGGATCCAACACCGGAGTTGTTCCGGGAGATGTTTTGTTAGAACTTTACATCAAATAAAAGAATGAGTGAGGATATCTTTCGCAACTACTACGGAAAGAATTACGAGAGAGTGAAGGCGGCAACGCGCATTGAAATCCGGAAAATGAAAGAAAATTTTAGGAAAAATTATCCCAACGCAACCACGTCTAAATTTGACTTTCAGGTTAACTTTGCAAAGGATGGAACCGTGGAGTCAAGAGACATATTTTTTAAGGTAGACAATCTTACGAGCTATGATATTACGTCTGATACATTCCGTTCAAATCCCAAGTGGATTAAATTCCTGCACTGGGTGGACGGATGGCGAAGCGTTCTTCCGGACATGATTTTTCGTCCGAACAAAGATTTTAAAATGGATGTGCACAGTTTCATCCCGACTCACACTCCAACATAGTAACCTCCATCGTTCGCTTTCATCTCCATTTCCACCTTTCAAGATTTATGCGTAATCCCAAACTTCTGGATCAGTACATTAGGAAGGCGATATATGGAGCATCTGAAAATTCACACCCGTTCATGAAAGGTGGGAAAAAAGAACGGCCCTTTCCCATGCAAACCTAGGAACGTGGTACTACGACAAGCCGGCAGATGTCAGGAAAAGGATACGACGTCAGAAATATCATCAAACTAAATACGGAGGCACATTTATCGAATACGAATACCTAACCGGCAGGTCCCCCTACGACGTTAAAATTATTACAAGACCCTTATTCCTAAAAAATCCCGAGGATTAACCAGAGTTGGACAAAAGCTATTCCAACAGTCCATCGAGGCTTTCGTGTACTCCATCCTAGGGGCGCAGGCTAAAACCAGATGGAGCATTACGGGACAGGGCGCGAAAAGTTTACAAACGCAGGAAGTCTTCCGGAAGGTGGCGAAGGACACAATCGTTCAGCACGATGTCACGGTCACCATTTCCAACATGCGGACGGCTATTTCCAATACCCACGTTATTCTAAATTTTGTAATCATGCCGGGTCTAGTTTTTATTCCCTCGGATCTGAGGATTTTGACGAAACCCATTCCGGGATTCAGCAATGTCCTGTGACAAAAAACAATGAGCATCTTATTCGGATACGATTATTTTGACGAAACAAAACCTATGCTGGAACGTCTGGAAAATAAAATAAATCAGACGGACAAAAACCAAACCATCACCGGCCGCGGAAGTGGTTCTGAATAAAAATGAAATCACAAAACTTCACAGTATAGGTGGTCAGTATGCCTGGTACAGATTTCCGAATTCCATTACCTATCCACCGAACAGCTATAAGACGGATGATATTTCCAAATCCGACGTGGACAATACGAAATTTATAGGATTTGCCATGACTGACGGATCTAACCCAGCTCCAACTATGGGTGCAACGCTTAGTTTTTCCACTAATTCTGCCGGAAATATTGTTCTCCACATCAAAAATGGAAATGGTCTAATCCGTGCTACTTTTATGTATTTCATAACTCAGCATTATCTCGGATGCGGAGGTATAACCATTCAGGTTATGAGTTTTTAAAGTTTAGAGATGTGGACGCATCCGGAACTGTTACTGACACGACGGAAAATAGGGAACTATTATTGTGTTATCTGGTAATTTTACAGTAGAAAGTACTTTTAAATCTTTCTGTAAGATTTAAAATGTCCGTGTCAGTCCATAGGTACTACCAACTCCCAAAACACCCATTGTCATCATCGCATATACGTTTCCATTTCGTCCGACGGTTGATAATAATCTTCCAATTTTGGTTTCCGCCGGGATGCTGAGTCTTCCATAAGTCTCGTAAAATTTCTTAAATCTTCCAGCGCTCTGTTTGTTTCCTCGATGTCCTTGTTAGCATCCAGGATCTCGGCTCGACGTCGGGCTTCGTCGTTCCTACGCTTTACTTCGGATTCATAAAATGTTTCTTTTGCTTTCGCAAGTTTTTCCAATGCTTGGTTATGTCTTTTCACTTCTTCTTTGTATCCTTGTCCATTTAATTTCGAGAAAAGAAATGCGGCTCCGGCAAAGGCCACGGCATTAAAAAGTCCTCCTATAACAACGGATGTCATTTTTATTTGTCGATCATTTTGGGAATATATCCCTTATCTTTCAAATATCCTATGGCAAATGCGCTTCCGGCTACGGCAACAGCCAACTTCGTCGCTCCTTCCAAGGTCATCGGTGCACCGACACTTTTTCCAGCAACCTTTTTGACAAGGTAGGATACTCCGACGACTCCGGTCGTCAGTAGTGTGGCATCGTACAATTCGTTGATCACTTCCTTCTTTGTGTCGGTCATTGTGTTTTATTATATGCCTTATTTTCTTTTTCTTCTAGCACTAGTCCCGGTCAAACAGGTCAGGGTCACCCTGCGATTTTTCTGCGGATTTGCTTTCCTCCATCTTTTCGCTCTTTTCCCGACGATTACACCACATGATGTAGAGGGATCCAAGTCCCACAGTAATACCCACCACCATACCAACTCTCTCCAGGGTAATCGCTGTATCTCCACCTGACCCTTCACATTTATTCTCTATATCAAAAACGTTTTGCTCTTCCTTAATTGCTTCAAGTTGTGCGCGCTTCCTGGCTTGTGCCTCCTGACTGATCTTAGGAAGCCTGCGTCCTGCCTCCACCTTTTTCGGATCCTTGACGTGAGTTTTCACCGGATTTGTGACCGGCACTGTGGTCGTACTCGGGTGCTCTTCTGACATGTTTTATTTTACTTAGTAAAATTTAAATATACACATCCCAATTTCCACGTTTAGCTTACAGCCACACCAGGTAGGGCTGTAGGAGACGAATACTCTTAATTTTGCTTGAAAGCGTCTCAAAATAATTTTAAGTACAGTTCAAGTAAAACCTAAGTGATCTTAATTTTACTTAAAAGTGTCTCAAAATAATTTTAATGCCGGCCCCTTAATTTTGCTTGAAAGCGTCTCAAAATAATTTTAGGTAGGTCTCAAGTAAATTTGAGTTTGAAATCAACAATTTATAGACAAGGCTTTCCTACATACAAAGAAAACAATCATGACGTTCTTCAGAAGATCAAATAACGAGGTCCAGTTATATTTCAACTGTCCGGAAAAGATTAATCGAATTAAGGCATTATATTAACTACGAGGACATGACGTCGTCATCACAACCATAGGCAAAATAGGTCTGGTTGTAAAACACAGAATTAAGTTCGGGAAAGGATGGATGGGTCGCAACGCCGAAATTCGAGGTGTGGATTACGTTTCCGGAGGTCCGAAGGGTATTAATATTTTTACTACCATTTCCGAATCCGTCGACGTGATCGACTGCCGGCTCGAAAGGCCGAAGGACGGGGCTTGCCTAGGCTTACCCACGGATGTCACAAATAATTGGTTTCATACCTCTATGTCCTGGGCGGAGTGGTCGGAGGACAGGGCCGAGGAAAGGGCGAGGCGTGCAGAGGAGGAGGAGACTTTGGCAGAGGCTCGGATAGGAGAGATGGAAACGCTGGAGGAAATGCAGATGGAAACGGAAATGCGGGAAGCTTTATATGAAGGTCCCGCGGTATAATTTTAATTTAAAGACCTTGAAGATACAGAAGGTTATCGAGATTACCATACGGATAACATAAAGTTTCATCGTTCTTATCATTTTCCAAAAGGGGCATATTCTCTCTGTTGAACCGGTCTAGCTCGTTCGGCTTTCCCAATTCGAGAACGGAGTTAATTCCGCTGCGTTCCTGACACTCCAACCAACACCGGATTGGAATGAAATTCCTTTTCAATCTCGTTGATACATAAATCCGTATTATGGCATTATTTATGTTACCGTATACTGGAACTGCGGTACACATGATGTGATGCTGATCTAATTCAAATCCAGTTCTTTCATTCACATAACGAAACCCAAAGTAAATGCAGGCTCCACGCCCTAATATATCATTAAGGTCGGACAGGATTTCCGGACATCGGAAATAGAACTGAACATATCTCATGGTTTTATTTGTAGTTGATTTCAAAGGGCATCAATACCGCTGATGGTTAAATTGTTTCTGTAACTCGACCTCGTCTTCGCTTTCGTCCTCACCAGCCATGACCGATCGGTCACTCCACCGTATCCTAAACAGGTTCCCCATACCGTAGGAACGGACGCGTAGAGACGGTACGGAAAAACCCTCGTCTGTGCAAAACCGTCAGGCCGTCCCAAATTAATGCCGAACCCCGAACCGTCCAGCGTGAAGTTGTCTATCTCTCCAAGCGTCACATCCTCCGGAATGGTAAGAAAAATAATAATACCTATCGGTGGACCGAAAGGGATCGCGTTCACACCCATAATAATGGCGTTCGGTTCCGTTCCCGTGTCCTCAAACCTGACCTCGACCTCTCCATCAACTCTTTCGTGTGAAAAGGTGACGCCGGCGTCCGCAAAGTCGGTGTTTCTATACATCCGCAAAATGAACTTCGTCATTTCTACGAAACATTCGAAGTATAGCCGGACTCTCCTGTATGCGTCTGTGATTCCCTGCGAACCTTGCCTTTCCCTGCGAACCTTGCCTTCGAACCTTGCCTTGCCTGCGAACCTTGCCTTTGCCCTTATATACCTTTCTGAACAAAAACAACCTTTTATCTGACATACAGTCAGGATTTAGACCTCTTCACTCAACGTTAACAGCTATGCTTGATGTCACTGATAAATGGTACACTAACATGGACAGTGGGTTAATAAATGCTGTCTTATTCATTGATTTAAAAAAGGCTGTTGATACCATTGATCATAACATTTTACTACAGAAGTTAACTTGTTACGATTTCAACAAAGAAACGATTGCTCTTTTTAGAAACTATCTTTCTGATCGTACTCAAATAACAGTTATTAACAACATACGATCTGATACTCGTAAAGAAACATGTGGAGTTCCTCAGGGGTCTATCTTAGGTCTACTACTGTTTTTACTATATATACAAACGACCTACCTAATAGTGAATTGGTATCAGATGGGCGTTTATTCGCTGATGATACCAACTTGACTTTTGCGGACAGCAACCCTGACAAGTTGATTTCTGTTCTAAATGACGACCTTAAAACTCTCCAAAACTGGCTTAATCTGAATAAACTAAGCCTGAATGCGATTAAAACTAAATGTATGTTTATGGCATCCATGCAAAAATTAAGTACTATTCCTGAAAAACCTAATATTGCTATCGCCGGAAACAAAATTGAAAGAGTTAGATCTTATAAGTGTTTAGGTTTAAAACTGGACGAGAGTTTGACATGGGAGCATCATGTTTCTACTATAATCTCTAAAGTCTCCAAGGTGATTGGAGTTCTGCGAAGACTAAAACCATTGCTCCCACAGTCAACTCTTGTCATGACCTATAACTCTTTAGCACAGCCATACTTTGATTATTGTAGTATTGTTTTGGATAGCCTAGGTAAGGGTCTTCGACAAAAGTTACAGCGATTACAGAAGAGGGCTGCAAGAATTATTACTGAATCTGATTATAACATCCGGTCATCAGATATCTTAACTTCATTGAATTGGACCAACCTTGAAACCAGACGTACCCAACAGTTCAAAACTTTTATGTACAAAACTTTTTGTACCAAGACCCTTAACGGAATCCTTGAAGAAAATTTTGCCTATAGAGGAGCTACCCTATGGAATGACATACCCGTCGAACTCACTAGAGTTCAATCTCTCGCTGAGTTTCAATCTAAAATATCTTAATATTTCTTTTATATTAGTTTCTTTGCATGTGTAGTTTGTTACTTTTGTAAATAGTTTAATACCTTTTTATTAGTAATTAGTCGATCTACTAGTATAGGCACACGTCTCCATTGAAGAGCACATAACATAACCTGTGAAATGGACCTCGTGTTTTGAATAAAGATGTCAATCAATCAGTCAATGTCAATCAGTCATGATTGTTTTATTTATATCTGAAAATCATTGTCTTTAAAGTGTTATCTTCCGCGAAGATTCCAACAGTCCGACAAATACTTCCAAAAGCCTTCACGAACACTCAGTAACGTCTTCGCGAAGTCCTTACGAAGTTCTCAACAGCGGAGCGAAAGCGCAGGGTGGGAAGACTCTAAGAACACTTTGGGAAGACTTTGAGAAGACTCTAACAGTCGGGTGGGAGGTGCGTACGTGGGGCGAAGGTTTGTGGAAGTTTGGGGGAATCGGCAGTCTTGCGTAAGCTAAAGCATATGGCCCCGTATAACTTACGTAAACAATTAGTCGAAATGCTTGTCATATCAAAGCTAGATTACTGCGTCACAGTTTATAGTCCTGTACATAACTACCAACTAAGGAAACTACAGCGCATCCAAAATGCATGCGCTGGTTTTGTTAAAGGCTCTTACGCGCTAAATTTGCTGATGTTATTAATATTGGTTGGCTCCCTATTAAGGAGAGACGCGACTGGCACATGCTAAAAATGGCACACAAAGCATTACATCAATCCCCATGGCCAGCATATCTTTCGCTGAAAATTCAATCAAGTAGCGAGTACTTCGCTCAAGCGCAGCAAAGAAACTTCAAGTACCGCTAAAAAGTGGAACATTTCAAGATACAGCCTCGTAATTGTTCAATGCTCTACCTGCTGAACTTAGAAATTGCGAACATTTCGGACATTTCTCACGGCAGTGCAAAGACTTTTTAAGAGAGCTTGTCTGTAAAAATGGCAATAATTCACTATTTTCTGGCAGATATGAAAAACTGAAAGTTCTTCAATTTCCCTCGATTTTATATATATTGTAGACCTCTCCAACCCCACATATTTACTGAAGTTTCAGCCATGAAACACAAAATGAAGAAAAGTTAGAATACTTCAAAAATTGAACCAAAAATGACGCGACATGTCCAAGAAATGTCGCTAAATAAAGCAGTCAACATCATGTGCTGTGCTGAGCGCGCATTATAAGTTTTGGTCTGCTGTTACAATATATGTTTTTAGAATATATGGAACTTTTTTGTGATATCTTTTCTCCATAAATCGAAATGTTATTGACTTGGTTATTTTAGATCAAAGATGGTTGAAATTTCCGGGTTCTCCAAACCAGCCAAAGTACGTCTTGGAAATCGCCTATTTAAAAATGGTCCTACTTTCTTTTTAAAGGTACATATACATAATTCGTTAGGGCTAGGATGTAGTCATTCGACGACGATTTCAGATGTTTGGGATACTTTTGTGTCTTGGCGAAATTTGATCTTAAACATGTACAATATTAGCGTAATTGCGTGCTTGGATTTTATTAACCGGCGCGTTACGATTCCAATATCTTACGTTTGTTCTATTCAAAAAGTTAACATGCTTCACTGTAAATGACACTGAGAACACAGAGTTTACTTCTTAATGATTTTCTTTGCATTCAAGTTACTTTGTCTACAGTATATGTGTATCCATACTGCGCGCACGCACGTACGCACGCACGACCAAGCATGCATTTTAACTTTTCTCGAACGTAAAAATCATAGCCGCAGCCCCAAGGTTACGCCAAGGTATATTTAAGAGTGAAGCGTGTGTTCTCAGTGACGACTACAGTAAACACAGAATCGTTTTGAAAAAAATTTAAGAAATAATATTCACAGTGTCACGCTCCAATTAATACGAACCACTCAATGGGCAATTCCAACTATAGATCATATAGACTAAATTTTGATCTAGGCAAGAAGAACAAAATCCATCCAGAAAGAGCATGTTAAAATTAGTAAAATTGCAAAGTTTGGCCGCGAAATATTGCAAAATGAGGAATATAATAGCAATACGAAATTTGCAAATTTTGTATATCACATTTGGGCCGAAAGTGGTGCAATCATAGTTAATTGAGGAGATGGTTTGGAAACTCAATAGCATTACAATAAACCTCATTATCTATGTTTTTGTTCAGGTTTATGCAAAAATGTGGTCTTTCATCGTCACGTGCGTATTGTATTTTTGCTCAACCAGCCAATAGCAACGGTTTTGTCCAATTGCCCATCCATGACTTTAACAATAGGACATTTTGAACATTCCTATTGGTTGACTTGAGAAAAATACAATACGCACGTGACGATGAAAGACCACATTTTTTGCATAAACCTGAACAACATAGATAATGAGGTTTATTGTGATTTTATTGTAATGCTAACGAGTTTCCAAACCATCTCCTCCATTAACTATGGTGCAATTGACCACTTGCGCAATAGGCTAAATTTTGATCTCAACAAAAATTTCATCACAGCTTGAAAGAGCATCACAAAATTAGTAATATTCCAAAGTTTCGTTGCGAAATGTTGTAAAATGCGGAAAATATAGCCTTGCGAAGTTTGCAATTTTCAGTTATTTTAGATTACAAACGGGAAATTGACAGCCCCAAACCCTTCGAGGCTGTCAATTTCCCATTTGTAATCTAAAATGACTGAAAATTGCAAACTTCGCAAGGCTATATTTTCCGCATTTTACAACATTTCGCAACGAAACTCTGGAATATCACTAATTTTGTGATGCTCTTTCAAGCTGGGATGAAATTTTTGTCTAAACTTGTTTAGATCAAAATTTAGTCTGTTACGCAAATGGTCTATTGCGGACAAATTAATACAAAATTTGCAAATTTCGCAGGGCTATATTTTCCTCATTTTCCAACATTTTGCAACCAAACTTTGTAATTTTACTAATTTTATCATGCTCTTTCTAGCTGTGCTGATGGATTTTGTTTTTCTTGCCCAAAATCAAAATTTAGTCTATAGCTGGAATTGCCCATTACGCTGAATATTGTACATGTTTAACTGCAAATTTCGCCAAGACACAAAATAATCCCAAACATCTGAAATCGTCGTCGAATGACTAAATCCTATCCCTAACAAATTATGCATATGTACATTTATAAAGAAAGTAGGACGATATTTAAATAGGCGATTCACAAGACGTACTTTGGCTAGTTTGGAAAACCCGGAAATTTCAACCATTTTTGATCTAAAATAACCAAGTCAATAAGTTTCGATTTATGGAGAAAAGATATCACGAGAAAGTTCCATATATTTTAAAGACATATATTGTAACAGCAGAGCAAAAACTTATAATGCGCGCTCAGCACAGCACATGATGTTGACTGCTTTATATAGCGTAATTTCTTGGGCATTTCGCGTCATTTTTGGTTCGATTTTTGAAGTGCTCTAACTTTCCTTAATTTTTTGTTTGATGGCTGAATCTTCAGTAAATGTGTGGGATTGGATAGGTCTACAATATATATTAAAACGAGGGAAATTGAAGAACTTTCAGTTTTTCACATCTGCCACACATTCTGTGATTCTTACAGGCAAGCTCTCTTAATGTGTAACGCTAGAGACAAATATTTTACATAGTTAAAATTTTAATCCTTAGCAGTTTTAAATTTTCGTAGAGACTTTCTATTAATAGTTATATTAATGCTCCCACTCAAGAATTTGTCGATTGCCTTTTCTCGCATATGTTTTACCCCCTTATAAATCGACCGACACGAATCACTGCACATTCTGCAACACTAATTGACAATATTTTTACTAATCATTTAACACAGAATTTATTAAGTGGCATTCTTATAAATGATGCATCTGACCACTTACCCGTCTTGGCCTTCGTACTTAACGAAACTATACCAAGTCAATGTTGCGAGAAGACCGTTGTCCAAGACTTTAGTGAAAACAATATAATTAACTTTCGCACACATCTAACTCACCTAAACTGGTCTAGTCTTCTTGTGGACACAGACCCAAATGAATCATACAACGCTTTCTCAATAGAGTTTTTAAATATATATGATCAAAACTTTCCAACTAAAATAATTAAAACTAAGAAATATAAAAATTCTTTAGCACCTTGGATGACAAAAGCATTATCAATCTCTATTAGGAAAAAGAATAAGCTATATAAAAAATTTCTTACGTCACAAAACTCGCTGCACGAATCCCTTTATAAAAAATATAAAAATAAGTTGACTCGTTTAATTAAGATAGCTAAAAAACAGTATTACGAGGAAAAATTTGAGGAAGTGAAATATAATCACAAAGCAACTTGAGACTAATAAACGAAGTCATTAATAAACGCAAATCGAGACCATCGTTCCCCTCTTCATTTAAATCTGGTAATAATATCTTATCCGATCCTTCAGATATAGCAAACTCATTCTGTAAATATTTTACGAATGTCGGGCCAGATCTTGCAAGAAAGATTCCCAACACTAACATTTCTTTTCACTCCTTCTTAAATTCAGGTTGCAATGAAACGATTTTCCTTCGGCCTACAAATGCAAGTGAATTACAGGAAATCTGCAATTTATTTAAGACAGGAAAATCCCCTGGTTATGATAATATTTCTATGTATGTTATAAAACGATCTTTCGACCTACTTGCCGAACCACTTGCAAATATCATAAATTTTTCTTTGTCTACGGGAATATTTCCAAATAAATTGAAGATTGCTAAAATTATCCCAGCTTTTAAAACTGGAGAACAAAATTCTTTCACAAATTACAGACCTATATCAATCCTAACTAACTTCTCAAAATTTTTTGAAAAAGTCGTGCAAAAAAGACTAATCTCATTCATTGAACGACATGAAATCTTATATAAATTTCAGTTTGGTTTCCGTAGTAAGCACTCTACTTCCCATTCGCTCATTTCATTAGTTAACAATATTGCATCGGACATCGACCGAGGCCATATAGCTGCTGGTGTATTTATTGATCTTTCGAAAGCTTTTGATACGCTAGACCACCAAGTTTTACTTTCAAAATTGGAGTACTATGGTATCCGAGGTGTGGCCTTGCAGTGGATCAGAAGCTATTTGTTAAATCGTGAGCAATTTGTACAATTTAGATACACTTGCTCGTCCTTCAATAAAATAAAATGTGGTGTACCTCAGGGATCAATACTAGGTCCGCTACTCTTTATTTTATATATAAATGATCTCCCAAATGCATTGGAATTGGCCAAATCGTTTCTTTTTGCTGATGACACAAGCGTATATTATTCACATCTGGATATTAAAAATCTCGAGATTATCTTAAATCGTGAACTGGCAAACCTAGATGTTTGGATGAAATCAAACAAATTATCTGTAAATATTAGTAAAACTAATTATGTTATCTTTCGGCCCAGACAAAGAAAATTTAATATAAATTTATGTCTCCAGTACAACAATCAAACCCTAACCCAGAGGCAATGTATCAAATTCTTAGGTGTGTATATTGACGAGAATTTGTCGTGGAAAATTCACATAAATAATATTTGTAAAAAGATATCGAAATCTGTTGGAATTATCTACAGGTCTCGCCATCTTTTATCACCTACAACAAAGTTATGCTTATATTATACTCTTATATATCCTTATCTAACCTATTGTAATATTGTATGGTCCTCTACTTATGTAACCAATCTAAACAGAATTTATCTTCTACAAAAACGGGTTGTAAGAGCTCTGACGAACTCTGACTACCGTGCCCACTCCTCTCCGTTATTCTATCAGTTAAAAATATTAGATATATTTAAATTGAATTCCTTTTACATAGGTAAATTTATGTATAAATACCACTATCACTTGTTACCTGAATGTTTCGATAACTTATTTATCACAAACAATCAAGTACATAGCTATAACACTAGATCGGCTACATATTACAGACCTCACGCGTGTCGGACAAACATAAAGCAATTTACTATTCTTTCTGTTGGTCCGAATACATGGAATTCTTTTCCACCATATATTACGGCTAAAACCACCATTTTCTCTTTCAAGAATCAATTATGCATTTTCCTACTTGAAAATTATAATATCGCATAGACGTCGAAATCGACATGTTTTAGTTAACTTGTATATTATGTAGTAATGTATGTGTGTTTTGAACTTGTACAAAGATATGATCTTAATTATTCTGAGTTATCACAGTGAACTAGAGGGCCTCGTGACGACTGTCACTAGGCCTCCTCTTCACTCAATTTATTTATTACAAAATTATTTTAACAAATGAGATGGCCTCTTAATATAAGCCTTTTAGCTTCTTGAGGTCTTCTCGCTACTGCTCAACTTTGATACTCAAACTACAATTAATGTAAATATCTATATTCTTGTTGTGTTGTGGCAAAATAAATTATGATGACATATGATAGTATAGTATATTTTTATGTAAACTTTTGCAGATGTAGAGCCACGCAGTGGAAAAGCTGTAATAAAGCATTATTATTATTATTATTATTATTATTATTATTATTATTATTATCGTGAACATATGCATACGAACATCATATTTATGTATTTTGTAAACGAAACAAGGTGTGGGATAACCCAAAATTAATGTTAATATAATCCTTCTAAAAATAATTATTGTACAATAAATATATAGTATCAATTCAAGTAGACATTGATAAACTACCTGTAAAACGAGGTTTATCATTGTAGTTGTATATATCCTAATAATCAATAAATAAAGTTTCCATTATTATTACAAGACGCGAATATTATGGGTAAAGAATGAAAAAAAATATTATGACGATAAGAGTAATGTCCAATACAGGCATCTGATGTCTGATGGTGAAGATGGTGTACGGTGGTGTATGATGGTTGAAGTGTGTCAGATGGTTGTCAGATGGTGCAGATGGTACAGATGGTGTATGATGGTCGAAGTGTGTCAGATGGTTGTCAGATAGTGTATGATGGTGTATGATGGTCGAAATGTGTCAGATGGTTGTCAGATGGTGTATGATGGTGTATGATGGTCGAAGTGTGTCAGATGGTTGTCAGATAGTGTATGATGGTGTATGATGGTCGAAGTGTGTCAGATGGTTTTCAGATGGTGTATGATGGTGTATGATGGTCGAAGTGTGTCAGATGGTTGTCAGATTGTGTATGATGGTGTAGGGTGGTTATACAGGGAAGGGTTGTCAGATGGTGAAGATGGTACAGATGGTGTATGATGGTCGAA